AGTAGTTGTTTGTATTGTTCCAACTGTATGTATGTATGTATGTATGTGTATGTCTCTCTACTCATTCATTTAATATTTGTATACTTGCATAGTACATATTTATGAGTATGTTTAATCGTGAATCTTTTATTGTAATTATTTTTATTTGTTATAGGTATTAGCACCCCCCTCTTTTATTAAATTTCATCTCTCCATCACTGTTCATCGTTGTTCACTATTTTAAGTTTTATATTGTTTTAAACTTTCATTGTCACTAACATTATAGTGACCATGAAAGTTACATAGATCCGTGATCATGGCGCTTGCAACAGTGCCGAAACATCGGAAACTCGCTAAAAACAAGGTACATGGTAACAATCCCGTAAAAAACTTATATTACTATAATTTTAAGTTTTGTCCTAGTGTGTAATATTTAAGTGGTGTGAACAATGAAGTGTTATCTACCTAAAATAGATGCCATCCACCTGGAATACCTCGAGAGGCCCTCGCCAATTTTCGGCTTGAGATCCCCTTAGGATCTCGCCGTGTCCGTCCCCAAGCCCGGTGAAGGTCATGTGCTACCAACAACATAGGTAAACATTCAAAAAACAAGTTTACTACACGAAGAAATACAGATTTAATTGTTTAAATTTTGAATACATTGCACCACGCGTACTCTGAATTCAAAAGAATGAAATATGTATCTTTTCCAATCTCCACGTTGGCGAATTTGCACCAGCGATTAGATAAAAAAATTGCATAACTGTCTTGGATTACTCAATTGGAATGAAGTTAAAAATATTTTCATACCACCCACCAATGCGCACTGGGCGCAGTGCGAAATAGGTGTAATCCAAGAATAGGGTAAGTGGAATGGACCAATGAATGGGCCCAGTGCGTATGGGCATGGGCCCAGCGCGGACGTTCCCGATTCATCGCCACCGTTGCCTTTTCATCGCACACGCTCCCAGTCCAACATCCACCAAACAAAACTTTAAACCAAGTCAACAACCACCGCCGTCAGTGGTCGCTCACCTCGTTGCCTACTGAGCTACCCGCTCAGCTGCCCCGCTAGGTTCTGACGGTAAATTTTCCGTCGCCTAATCCCCATCCGCCACGCCAAACCGTCCGCAAAGCAACTTTATTCCAAAAGTACCAACTGAACTGAAAACCTCCTTTTATAAGTTTGTACACAAATAAAAAAGACTTACCACTTTTAGGAGCACCACAGAAAGCTGAATGAAGCTTTTCTGCATTTTCATCCCCTCATTGTGTTGACAAATGAAATATCTAGAACAAGAAAAAATTTGGTGAGTACATATTAATTTGCGTTGATATATAAAGAAAAACATTATTCGAAAATGCATCCTACGCAGACAATAATTCAGTGACATTATTGTAAATGTAAACTCATTACTTTTTTACAAAAAATATTGCGTCTGTAAAAAGAAACTTTTGTTTGTCGAAACAAAAAAATCGGTCAAGGTATTTCGTACGAATCAAAACTACTTAAGTACTAGATGTAATCGTACTTACTTACAAAATATTAAGAGTCGAGGTTAAAATGTTTTACGCATTTTTTTCTCTTCATTTTCTTAAGACGTTTAAAAACAAAATTACCTAACTAATTTAGAATTGCCGGAAAAAAACGAACAAAAGACGATCAATTCTTTTCCATATTGTGAGCTTGCGAAGTGACAAAGAGGTTTGTAGCGAGGTGCGCGGCGCCAATCAGCCAGCAGTTTTTGTATGGGCAATTGGGCATGGACCAATAATATGGTCCATGGTGTATGATTAAATTTTAATTTTAGTTAAAATGAGATTTATCTAATTTGCTGCCTGTGGACCCGAATCACTGACATACTCAGATCGAAAGTGTATATAGGTAGGTACTTTGCGTGCCCAAAATATGAAATGAATTGAAAATAAATTTTATTTAAGTTGACCTTCTTAAAAGCTCTTTTGGATTATACTTATATTTTTTACTACAACCTGTGAGATGTCCTGAACATATTTTATTTTATTTTTTAAGAAGTAGCGACATTTGCATGCCATAAAGCAGAGCGAAGCTCTCCCTTAAACTCTAATATGTTTCTTCGCGTCACAATCGCATGTTTTTATGTCTAAGGCTAAGAACTCACGGCGCGATTTCCATCGGTGTCCGCCGCGGCTGTAGTCTCGCGTAGAATGTGAAATTGTAGGCAAAACTTGGGTAAAACGTAACTGCTGTCGTTGAGGTGTGAAATAAAACAGAGGTTTTTTTCCGTTCAGTGAGTTCTTAGCCTAATTTGTCCTAGGTCTATTAGCTTAGGGGTAAAAATAACATACGACCTATTCTCAACCTGCCAAATAAACAAAAAAACATACAAATCGGTGTAGCCGTTTCGTAAGAGTTCGATAACACACTATGACAGGACATTTTCATAAATAGGCATTAACATAAACAAAATTCACTATTATTCCTATATTCGACGAAAAATATGCAGCCCCGAACGACATGGATGGCGCAGGTGTCCGTAGCGCCCCCCCGCGGAATCTGACAGACTATTTATCCGGATTTAGCCGGCATTAAGTGGATTAGGGTGGATTTAACTGGTTCTAAGTGGTTTAACATTTTCTGTGCTATTGAAACTTGGAATTTTACATGTTCGTTTGATTGCTTATTTATTTGTAGATGAAATGATAGACTAATTTTTAATGAATATCTGTTGTGCATTTGAAAGCGAGAATTTTTGGCTTATGAAAAAGGCAATGAAAAATAGATATAGGAAATATTACTTTTCTCGTGCCTCTGCCCACACCTGTGTGACAAAGATTTGACTACTTAGACGCTAAAACTAGCGTCCAAATTTTCAATTAGTTTTTAACACACATGAAACGTTGTACAGTAGATCCCCGGTAGTCCGTAAAACATTTTGCAGGGCAGTGTCGAACTATCGAATTTGTCGGATTATAGAGTACTGCCTAAGACCCCCTATAGTCCGATTTTTTTTACAAAAGAGTACCTTGTAATGCGACAAATTACAGATCCAATGATAAGATTACAAATCATACTTTGTTATGTATGTCAAATTTTGTAAATTAAACAACACAATAGAAAGATTACGTTTTATTATAAAAGTAACGTCATTAATGCTATAGAATTTACAAAAAAATATATAAAAACAATACCCTTCGCGTCGAGCACAATAGTGATGGTGCGAACAAGTTGTAACTTGTTCAATCGTGAATTAGCGAATACTTGTATGTAATAGACTATGTCGGATTATAGGGGGTGCCGCATTAGCCAGGGGCCGGATTACCGGGGCTCCACTGTATTTCGATACTTACTTATTATCAGTATGCGAATTGTATTTCTTCTACGGTGTTTTTCTTCATATCCGCTCGCTATTTGTAAGGATAGTAACATTACATCATCAGGTTAATGGTGACAATCTAACTTTTTTTTAAGACAAAATAACATCAAGAAAAGAATACAATTAGAGTAAACCTCTATAAAAGTAGGACTGTGCTAACTAGCAGTGTAGTACAACGTACGTTTTGCCTACAAAAAGGCTAATTAGCATAAAAAGAAACATGGCGATTGCTAAGTAGCTCTGGAAAAAATAATATAAAATAACAAAATAATAATAATTTAATTGTTGAAATTGTTTTAGTTGTTAATTATTCTTATAAAAATTCCAGCACTCATCGCTAACTTCAGTTGAATCAATTAAAGTATAGTTTCCGCAGATAATGCTAGTTAGCATAGTGTCAAGCATTCTCGAATGCTGCTTAGCCTTTTTGTCGGCTAAACGCACCCATTAAGCCCGTCACAGACGTAGCTATAATATATATTAATATATCGAAATATATATTATATTATAGCTAACTACCACAGACGGGAGCTATACTATAATATATATTTTGCCCTCACTCGGTCTGCGGTCGTTTTTGCAAGCGCACGGTTTTAAAGCTTATTTTCTAGCACAGGGTGTTTTAATTTTGATATAACGTTATAATCAATCTTACAATGAATGAATGAAATTAATTCGACAAGAGCACTACTTTTAGATTTAATTGAAAGTTCCTCAGAGGATGATTCCGATGCTGAATTTGATATGCATGCCTTGTCAGGAACGAAAAATATAACCATCTGGGTAGAGTCGCATATAAAACAAAAGAAAACTTGTGGTGAATTTAATTTGTATCGTGTTTTGTCATCCAATAAATTTGCACAGTATTTTAGGAGATACCCTCCCTCTCCTAAAATACTAGGGGATACTAGGGGGAGAAATGCTCGTGCGCACTTGAGCCGGAGATCGGGCAGGCGTTAAGAGAAAAGTTGAACATTCCGTATTAAAAATATATACTAATATGCCAAAATATATCCCGTCACAGACGTAGCTATAATATATATTAATATATCGAGATATTATATTAAACAAACTACCACAGACGGGAGCTGTACTATAATATATATTTTGGCAGGCGTTCGGTGAAAAATGGAACATCGCAGTATCATAAAAATATATCAAAATATATATTAATATGGCAAAATATACCCTAATATGCCAAAATATATCTGTATAGAAATATATATTATAGCTGCGTGTGCGCTCACTCGAAAATTTATATTGAAAATATGTAGTAATATGTTTTGCTATGATTCATATTAATATATATTATAGCTATGTCTGTGACGGGCTTGAGCCGGAGATCGGGCAGGCGTTCGGTGAAAAATGGAACATACCGTACCATAAAAATATATCAAAATATATATTAATATACCAAAATATACAGTAATATGCCAAAATATATCTGTCGACATATTTTGGTGACGCCATAGAAATATATATTATAGCTGCGTGTGCGGTCACTCGAAAATTTATATTGAAAATATGTTGTAATATGTCTTGCTATGATTTATATTAATATATATTATAGCTACGTCTGTGACGGGCTTTATTGTCTTGGTATGTAAAGCCTGCACACTGTATCTGTTACACTATCTGGCGGCCAGGTTTTATCGAGTTTTAAAGGTTTTGCTGCTTTAAATATTGTGCTACTCTCCTCTAGATGGCGCTATGTAATTGTAAGATAAAGTTACTTCTACTTTCTTGTATATTATTGGGTTGGTGAAAAGTTACTTTTTTTATTGTTAATGGTTCTGTATTGAAAATTGGCTGTTTTATAAATTCATATTGACATGTACCAATTTGGTAAAATTTATGATTCAATGCTAAATTCGGACTGAAAACTTCACTATTCATTTCGACTTGTTTTTTTTTTTCGGCGGGAACCTTCGAAGAGGAAAGGCGCGCTTTGAAGATTTTTTTTGCATTAATTTTAATTTTCTCTTTTTTTTGTGTATTCTTGTATAGTTTTATGTAAATAGTGTTTCAATTCAAATATAGGTATATAGAAGTTAAATGGCTAGTACGAAAAAGCGGAAAAAAGACTTTGGGGGTGGCGATGATAGTCGTCGTTCTTCGGACGATGAGTCTGAGACCTCTCAGAAATTCAAGATCTTTAAAGTAACTGGGTATCAAAGGAAATATCCTGAAAATGCAGATAAAACAGAGTTTGTTGTGTTTTTGTCTCACAAAACTTACGATACGCCATTTACGGACAAAGACAGAATAAAAATTTCAAAAGCCATCCGAACACATTGCGTGTCCGGTGTTTTACATTTAAGGCCGGTTAATCGGTATAAAGTCGGCATAACGTTCGATCTTTCGAACAATGCCAATGTTTTTTTACAAAATGCTAAACTTTTGGAAGAGTTGGACGTAGTGGCCACCATTCCAGCAAAGGACACTGAAGTAACCGGTGTGCTAAAATCTGTCCCTACCGAATTGTCAAATAAAAACATTTTCTCTTTGATAGGTAGCTCCAAAAACATTATACAAGTCCGGCGGTTCATGCGGCGTGTGCGGGGGGATGCTGGTGCAGTCTCGTACCAGCCCACGCAAACAGTCGCAGTAACGTTTGCCTCTACTCAGTTGCCAGAATACGTATATCTAGACCATTGGAGACACGAGGTCAGTCCATACGTTCCACCTGTTAAGCAGTGCCTACGTTGCATGCGTTTCGGTCACATTGCTAAGTTTTGTCGCAATAATGAAGTCTGTTCAATTTGTTCGACAAATCATAATTATAAATCTTGTACTGTTGATATAGAAAATGCAAAGTGCACTAACTGTGGAGGTAATCACGTAGCCATCTCATCCTCTTGTCCAATTAAAAAGCAACAGATCGAAGACAACAAAATTAAAAGTAGAGCTGTGCAGTATTCAGAACTGTTTAATGAAAAATCATTTCCCAAACTTGCCGAAAAATCGATAGAAACACATTTAAATAATTTATCAAAATCAGACTTATTTATGAATTTATTAGTAGAAACAATAATGAATATAGTATCTAATAAGAATGTACCTATAAATAGTAATACTATAAAAGAAAATTTACATAATACATTCAGAAAAATACCTTCCAAAAATAAAAATGGCTAACTTAAATATTGTACAATGGAATGCTCAGAGTTTAGTAAGCAGTAGGCTCATATTTACAAATTTTCTTTATGAACACAACATTCATTTAGCATTAATATCAGAAACTTGGCTAAGACCGAATCAACAATTCAAAATAAAAGGTTACAACATAGAAAGAAATGATTCTGATAATATACATAATGGAGTTGCAATATTAATTCGCAATAACATTGTTTATACTAAAATCAATACAAATTTTGATAATACTTTGCAAAATATTTGTATTCGTATTACAATAAGAAATAAAGATATATCAATTGTTAGCTTTTACAGTCCTCCAAATACTAATCCTGCCTTTAGTAAAAGCAAATTAGATTCTCTTATAAAATCTATCCCTGGTCCGATGATTTTTGCAGGTGATTTTAATGGTCATCACTCTTCTTGGGGCTGTAATTCCACAAATCCTCGTGGTCGAGATATTCTGGATATCATTGATGAAAATAACTTGATTCTTCTTAATGATGGGCAACCAACCACAGTTGGCTCTTTAACTTGGCGGCCCAATGCTCTAGATTTGACCATAGTTAGTCCTTCTTTGGCTTTATCTTGTGAATGGTCTGTTCATGATGATCCTCTCGGCAGTTATCATCTACCTGTAAAAACAAATATTAGTCTCAATGTCAACAACCAACAAGATTGTAATAACAATAATGTCATGGATGATAAGGTCACTTTTCCAATATTCAAAAATTTTAAACTGGTTGATTGGAAAATGTATCAATGTAAAGTTGAAAGTCTTTTATCTGAGTTTTGTGTTCAATCATACACCCCATTGGAGGCTTATACACTATTTTGTGAAATTCTTTATTCAGCCACAGAGTCTTTAACCCCTACCAAATTAAAATCCAACTCTACCAACAGAAAAACTGGCAAAAGACTCTCATTACCTTGGTGGAATAATAATTGTTCAGTTGCTGTGAGTAATTCTAAACAAGCATATATTACATTTAAAAATAATCCATCAGAAACAACCTATTTGGAATTTAAAAGGTTGCAAGCTTTAAAAAAACTCACCCTTAAAACTGAAAGATCAAAAAGCTGGGCTGATTTGTGTAGTTCATTCAATCGTTGTACCCCTCTTACTGTAATCTGGAAATATATGCGTAAATTCAATAAATCTTTTATTTTAAGTCATCCAGACTGTGACAGCTGGGTTTTACCTTTTCTTAAGAAATATACTCCTGATTATGTACCTACTCATCAGGACTGTTCCTACAATAGATCTCAATCAAATTCCACCAACCTCTTTTTAATAAAACCATTTACAATAACAGAATTGAAAAACGCAGTCTCCTCCAGAAGAGAAAGTGCATTTGGATTGGATGGTATCCCTTATAAAATGTTGAAAACTCTTAGTGATTCTAGTTTGCAGATATTTTTGAAGGTTTTAAATCATCTTTGGGAAAACAATGACATACCACCTTGTTGGAAAATAGATTGCTTGGTTCCTATTTTAAAGCCTAATAAGCCTAAATTGGATAAAGATTCTTATCGCCCTATTGCACTAACTTCATGTGTAGGAAAAATTTTTGAACAACTACTAAAGCAAAGATTGGAGTTCTATGTGGAAAAAAATGGCATTTTACCTTCGAATCAGTTTGGATTTAGAAGAGGTCGCTCATCTCGTGAAAGTATCTGCCAATTACAACTTGACATCCAAAATTGTCTAGTAAAAAATCAAACTATGGTGTCTGTATTCTTTGATGTTGCGGGAGCTTTTAACAGTGTCAATGTTGATGTGCTTTCTAATGAGTTAACTTCAGTGGGTATACCACCAAAACTTGTTCATTGGGTCCAAAAGTTCTTGTCTGAAAGAAAAGTTTTTGTTAAGAATAATGGTTACCTATATGGCCCACGGTTGGCTTCTGTTGGTGTCTGTCAGGGAGGAATTTTATCTCCTCTTGTTTTTTTTATATTATATATCCGACGTCTCAACTTAATTCTGGGTGGACATGTCAAAAATTTACAGTTTGCTGATGACTTGGTAGTATATGCTTCCGATCATAAAATTACAAATTTAGTAAATAAAATTAATAGTGCCTTATTTAATCTTAATCAATATTTTACATACTTAAATCTTGATATTAACCCATTAAAATCAAAACTGCTTGTATTTGGGAAAAATAGATCTTTGATGCCTACTGTTTACTATAACAATGTTGCTATTCCAGTTTCATTAGACACAAAGTTTTTGGGTGTTTTAATAACTCACAACTTATCTTGGAAAAAATATATTGAACACATAACAACTAGGGCTAACAAAGCTTTAAACATATTAAAATCTTTAGTTTCTACATATTGGGGAGCTGATCCTAAGATCTTGTTGTTACTGTATAAGTCTTTGATTCGCAGCCATTTTGAGTATGCTTTTTTTTGTTTTGCTCATGACAACAAAATTGTAGATATCCTAGACAAAATTCAAAATAAAAGTATGCGTTTGATAACTGGTGCTTTCAAAAGCACTCCCATTAATGTTATGCAAATTGAGTGTAATCTTTCTCCCATTTCAATAAGATTTAGTTACTTAAAGGAAAGATTCCTTTTGAAGCTATTCTCAATAAACAATAATCAACTTTTAAAAAATATTTCATATTTATCACAATCACTGGCAGGTAGGCCTTTGTATATCATGCAAGGATTTCCTCAGTTCACTCAGTTTCTCGAAAATTCCAACATTTATAAGCCTTCAATCTTACCATGCTATGAAGGGCATTTTGAGAGCAAATTTCCATCAATTGACATAAATATCTACAAGGAGCTTTCTACTAAAGAGGAGGTGTTTGGTGAACTATCAAATTGGGTTGATCATAAACATATTTATACAGATGGCTCAAAAAATGATTCAAGTGCATCTTTTTCTTTTTACGTTAGCTCTATAAAATCTGGTTTAGGTTACAAGATAGACAAAAATTCCTCTGTATTCACTGCAGAAGCTCTAGCAATTTTGGCTGCTCTGAAACACATAAAACATCAAAATCAAGGACATAAAAAATGGCTAATACTTAGTGATAGCATGAGTGTGCTCAAAAACTTAGAAAACAATAAATTAAGTGCAAACACCAATTACATTATTCATGCTATTAAAGAAGTCTGGTATGATCTATACAATGTTGATAATATAATTGTAAGTTTCATGTGGGTTCCGTCTCACATTGGTGTAACAGGTAATGAAAATGCAGATTATCTAGCAAAATCTATCAATACTCTAGCTACTGAAACCAATACTCAGAAGATGTCTATACCTTATACAGATTTGATTGTTCTGCTAAAGGAAAGAATGCACCAAGAGTGGCGAGCCCATTGGAATTGTATAGTACAGGTTAAAGGTAAAGGTCTATGGTACACACCTCTTTATGTTGATGTAAACAAATTGCCATGGTTCTGCAAATCAAATAGCTTTTTGAATAGAAAATTCTATACGACGATTTTTCGCTTAAGGTTTGGTCATTGTCGGCTTAATTTCCATCTCTTTCGGTTGCAAATGGTGAATAATGCTCAATGTACTCATTGCAATTCCCAAGAAGAAACCCTAGCTCACATTTTCTTTGACTGCCCATCCTTCGGCATTCAGCGCCTTGTGTTGTTGGATGAGCTAATCCAAATTTATGGCAAACATGATTTGGTCCCGCGTTCCTTGACCGATCTTCTTGTAAATAATTGTACATACGTTCCTCTGTATAATTTCATTGCAAACACTGTTGAAGAAATATAAATATTCTGTAATATCGTTGTGTATTAGATTTTAAGGTTAAATGTTCTGCATACACAAAACGCTCAGTTAAGTTTAATAGGTACCGCATGTTCTCTTTCCTTTTATTTGTTTGAAAAAAATGTTTATTTTCGTAATTTTGCTTGTAGGTATTCTTTTTCGTTTAGGTCGTCGGTTTGAAACAAGTTTGAAACGTATCAAATGTCGTTGTTTTAAGTTTGTTTTTTCTTTTCTTAAGTTTTGTATTAGGATTAAGGTATTGCATGGTATTGGTCTATGATTTATTTTTTGTGTAAATGTGTACTATAAAAAAGATATTAAATAAATATGAAATTCATATAGGATGTAATTAATTCATGATTGGACTGTCTAGTAAGAGAAAAAATTAAATGTTTGGTGTTTAAGATGTTCAATGTGCTCGGAAAAAAGCACATAATAATAGAGTAAAACAAAAAACTAGAAAATATACCGGAAATTATCAAACTGAGGAAGTTATATTGAATTTTAATAATAAAAAGAAGAAAAATAACTAATGACGAGGCAGTATGGTCCCAGACCTTAGCCTGTCCGAAAGGACAAACGAAAAAAAAAAAAAAAAAAAAATCATTTCGACTTTGACATTGATAGATTCTTCTGACGTTATAAGTTTTAGGTTATTTTTTTATTATGACAAAATTACAGTGAATAAAACTAAAATATTTTAATTAAAATGTATCCGTGAACTATTTATCAGTATTCTTTTTTACCATGGACCAACTATACGCGCTCGGGATATCTTGTATCGAGTTTATTCAAGACTGGTGAGTTAATGTATAACATCAGTATTATTTCATTATTTTTGGGTGATTTTATCAATAATGAGTAAATTATACTATTTATAATGTATGTTTTATGTTATCCGTATGCAAGTAAAGATTTTTCACTATTTTCAATGCATAACGGAATCTAAAATTATAAAAAAATACAGATCTCAGAAAGAAGAGAAAAATAGTTATAATATTAGGTACTTTAATAAATCGTGATGTAAACTAAGGTCGTGGCCTCTTAACATCGTAACGAGTTGTAGAAAGATAATGAATTTGACCGTAATTGTGTGGTCACAGCTAGACATTGCTGACTTGTATTTGCTTCTTTGCCCGCAACAAAAGAATTAAATTAATTTCATAGCCATCTTAAGTAGACTTCTTGAAAAAAAGAAAGTATCTTTTCTTTTTCATACCTAATCCCTTTTGTTATGAACTCATAACAAAAGGGTATGAAAATGAAACTTCATTCACTATGTAATTCATATTAAAGTTATTCATATTAGACAACCTCTGTACTGATTTAGATTAAATTTGGTATATAGTTATGTAGTTTTAATCTGGAGAAAGATCATAGGATAGTTTTTATTCCAGAAATCATCCTATAAGGGAGTGAAAAGGGGAAAAGTTTGTATGAGGAATAAATTTTTCTATACAGATGTAGTTGCGGGTACTCACTAGTCTTTAATAATTGTCTTTTTTACAGGTTTGCGGACTCAGAGGACTACTTCGAACTGGTGAACAACTTGTCCAATCCCCACTATGTTTTGGAGTACCTCTTCCCTCTGTTGTCAATACTGGACTCGGTGTTTGCCTCACAGCTGCTTTTGTGCATGTCTTTCGGGGGGTGGCTGAATGCTGTTATGAAATGGTAATATTTATTCACATTATACTTTTTAGATTATTAAACCCGGAAAGTTACTGGTATTGCAATTTTTCAAAAATCCTAGTAATTTTGTGGTGACATTTTTGATCTTACTGAAAAAAGATATCATTTTCGCTAAAACACGAGTCGGCTTAGTGAGATTGCAAAAAGAAATGTCAGCTTATTATAACTATACTTAGGTTTTTGGTTGACACGCGAGCCGAGTGAGCTTAGCGAATGAGCCATGGCAGTTTCACTCGGCGTAGTCGCAGAAAAAAATTCGTTGATAGTAGAATTAAGTAATGTCATCACTAGGATTTTCGCGAAAATTCGATTTATCAAATCATCGTACGACATGTATGAACACCACCACATTCAGTTCTAAGGTACCTTAAAGCTCTGACAAATTTCAAAATTGTACGTAAACGTAAAAAAAAGATACACCCTTTTATGTTGCGTACCTACAAAGTACGGAACCCTCGGTGGGCGAGCCCGTTTGCTTTGTTTGTCACTTTAGACAAGCAAGGTGAGGATAAGCTGTACCAGCTATCTTCGCATCTGGACTCCACCACCACTTACTATCAGATAGGGTGGAGTTATACATCCTGGCAAACTTCTTGAGCAACAACCATAGACAAGAAACCCTGCGCAATAGCAATTGACATACAAAAAAAATCTATTGCATAAGTTTATCTGTCATTGGTTCAAGAAGTTTACTGCTACCTATACTTGAGACCTTTATATAACAAAGAAAAGTAACACGTACATATTGGTTAGGTGGTTGCTAGAAGACCGCCCTTACTGGTGGGTGCGCGAGACGTCGTTCTACGCGGCGTCACAGCGGCCTCAGTTACGTCAGACCGGTCAGACCTGCGAGACGGGCCCCGGAAGCCCCTCCGGTCATACAACCACGGCTGCTTCGCTGCTACTATTAACCGCTATGTGGATAGCTCACGTTATGAACGATAGGTCAGTATGTTTACAGGAAAAAGGACAGAGCGTCAGACAGAGAAAGACACACCACCACGGCTGCTTCACTGCTGCTATTAGTCGCTATGTGACAGCAAAGACAGCTCTCCTACTGATCTGTGTTACGGCGGTCTCAGTTGTTTAAGCCGGGGCAATATGGTCCATGAACGACAGGTCACGTCTGCGGGGTCCCCGCAATGCCCCGGGAGACCCCTGCCGTGGAGCCCAGGCTAGGTCGGGAGGCTGTGGGTGCGGAGACGCGGCAGAATCCCTAAACGTGGATCCCGCGGTTTCGCACTTAGCAACTTAGAGGGTATTCGCAGGGTTTTTTAGCGGATATTATGCCGTAAAGTGCCTTTAAGAGTAACGGGGTCCTCAGTGGGCAGCCACTGCGGGTAAGTGTTGCGGGAGCTAGGTGTGAGGTCCGTTCGGCGTCTCTTATAGGCGCGGTCGTCTGTAAATAGAGGTTTTGCCTGCGTCACAAAAAAGAAAAAAGGGCTCTTGTCGCTGTCAACGTACCAGCGGTCCTTGAGCCTAATGGATGTTACCGGGACGATGGCAAGAGACCAGGGGGCCAATCGCCTAACTGGATTGCTTTGGAAAACGCTATCGCTTACGATTTCATTTTGTTATTTCTAGCCGCCTGAGGTTTTCAAATGCCTCGCGCTCTTTTTTTTTCTTTTGCATTGGTAATAACAATGTTAAAGAAAATGAGCGTGAGGTATTTGAAAACCTTCGGCGGTCAGAAATAACAAAATGAAATCGTAAGCGATAGCGTTTTCCAAAGCAATCTGGTTAGGCGATTGGCCCACTGATGGGATGGCGCTCATTCCTTGGAAGCAGGGTCGTCCTCTTGTATGGGACGCAACCTGCGTGATACGCTTGCTCCGTGCCATACAGGTAGTACCTCCCTAGCTGCAGGCGCGACGGCGGCCTCTGCCGAGCGGCGCAAATATTCAGCTCTCAATGAGAACTACATATTTATGCCGTTTGGTGTTGAAACTATGGGCCCAGGGGTCCAAGCGCTCGTTCCCTTTTTAAGGAATTGTCATAAAGGCTCACCGAATTGACTGGTGATCAAAAGGCTGGCAGCTATCTTCGTCAGCGGATCAGCCTTTCAATCCAACGCGGCAATGCTGACAGCCTATTGGGCATCATTCTTAATGGCGGCGCAGGGGGTTATATATATTTTTTATTTTGTAAATTATTTATTTATGTAGATAAATAGGTTAAGCTATATACTTTTTAAGTTTGTGTTATTTTAATGTATCTCTATCTTATTTCAATAGTTATTCAACAAATATTAAGCATTTTACTGCCAGATATTAAAATCTAAAGAAAATTTAAACGTCTCACCGCCACAACTGCCCGGATAGCAGAAGGTGCGGGTGTGAAATTTTATTTAGATATTAAATTTACTTTTGTTTGATCTGCAGAAAGTGCTACGTATGGTGGTGGAAGTTCGTGGCGTACCCGCTGTTCGCGTTCGCGCTCGGCTCGGTGATGCTCGCGCGAATGTTCGTCGCCACACATTTCCCACACCAGTGCGTTGTGGGCGCGCTAGTTGGTATGACACCTAAAATTCATTTATTTAATCAGCATTGCTTTTTCAATGCAAATGGCGGACTTAATGCCACTATGGCATTCTCTAACAATCGACCTGAGAGAACGAGCTGAGCCAACAAAACGGCGAACAACGAACAGAGTAAACATAAAAACAAAATGAAATATCAATTAATACCTACACAAACATATGTACATACAAATATAAACATTATAAACATATATACATAAATAAATACATATCTACCTATAATCAGTGTCTGATTATAGCATGCTGTTTCAGTTTTGCGATACATAAAAATAATGCTCCCGCGCTGAAATCTTGAACGCAACCCTGTCTGATTCATCGTTTTTAACTAATGGTCGCTTACATTATTCTATTCTCATTGAGATCAATTGAAAAAGTAAAGATGGAACTGCAAATAACAAATTAAAGTCGGTTAAAATAATCGATTCGATCGATCTAAATCGATTCAGTAGTTTACGCCTGAAGAGGTAACAGAACAGACTAAGTTTCGTACCTAAAAAAAAATAAGGGGTGGACCAACATTTAGGGGAATGAAAAATAGATGTCCGATTCTCAGACCTACTGAATATGCATATAAAATTTCACGAAAATCGGTCGAGCCGTTTCGGAGTAGTTCAATTATGCACACCGCGACACGAGAGTTTTATATATTAGATATTATTTATTGACAGGTTCATTCCTTGCCCCTGCTTTGTGCATCTACGTATCGGACCCCTACATCTGGGGCTACGGCCTCCACTCGGCAGGGGACACAAAAAGGGCCATATTCTGGCACGTTTTCTCAGCGGTAGTGACGGTTCTAATCAGTGTTGTCACATACGGTAGTTTGGTACTGTGCGGCATGGACCCACATTTTACGGTGAAATTGGTGAGTTACTTTTTAACATAGTATTGCCAACTGAAAAATTTATTTCTTCCTTAATTTTTTGTTCACACTTATATACATATCGCACCTCCGGTGCGACACTGTCACTTATGCAAAAAAAAACATTTTTTCAGGAGAAGCGTTTAAAACTTTAACATCCCAAAACATACAATATTTTAAGTTTTTTTTTTTTTAGATGAATAGCTAAGCTGTATAAGCTGTAAATCTTTAAATATTGTATGTTTTCGGATGTTAAAGTTTTAAACGCTCATCCTGAAATATTTTTTTTTTGCATAAGTGACAGTGTCGCACCAGAGGTGCGATATCTAAAACATGTAGTATACAATACTTGTATCAAACTTGTTGGATACACAAAATATGTGAGGTAAATAGTGATTTATTCTTGTAAAGGTACTCGTTGTCTATGGAGTGTAAACGATAGAATGTCACAACATGTATTCTACAAGTTTTGTGTAATACTAGTATATGTCGCCAATGCCAAGCGACGCGGGCTCGCCCCTCGATTGAATTTTTATTTACAGAAGTGTGCTGCGTGAGACTTGCTTATGTAATTGAGTCGGATCATATTTCATTTGATCCTAGTATGAGCGTACTTGATCTTCCCGTTTAGTTTTAATGTAATAGTAGAAGTTCCGAACATCAACATCGACTTTCACCAAGCTGATAATAGAATGAAACATATATTTTCATGAATTTAGCATACTAAAAATAAAAAATAGGTTGCCTAAAATAACCTTGGATGGACTATTTTAAATAAATTAAAAAAAAATGTTGTAACATTAAGATAATAAGAAAATGTTGTCCGGACTTTCAGTATAAAACATATAAAATGTACATGTCGGTTTCTATTATTTACCTTGGCGAACTATACTGGGCTGCCAGATATAAACAGCTGTTGATGCCAGTTACGTTACCTGCATATTCTATACGTTTTATACTTTAAATCACGACAACATTTTTTTTTATCTTGATGTTGCAACATTTAACCGAAAATATTTTTTTTAATTAATTATAAAATATAGTTTGTTCAGAGTATTTTTTAATATATTTTCTAATATACTAAATTCATGATAAAATAATATGTTTCATTCTATTATCAGCTCGGTGAAGGTCGATGTTGGCTCGGATCTTAGACTATAAGTATCGTTGATATTTTTTAAATAATCAAAAACCGTGGTTTTTCCACTACAACAGGCGTTCCGTTGGTGTCAGTACCCAGACTCTATAAGAGTGTCGACAACGCCAATGTTCGCGTTGGTACAATCCACCGCGTCCCTACTGGGCTGGGCGCTTTGCGTCACACCCGCAGTCGCTAAGTAAGTACAGTACCTTCAGCACGAACCATAATAGTTGAATTCGATGGCATGGTAAATTATAGAGGTTTTAAAAAACATTTAACATGAGCTGTCGCTTTATCGACGTGCATATACATATGTAAATTACTATAACTCAAACTATTGAAACGTGAATAATATTGTAAATGAATATTTCTAACAATCACACCATTTAGCCTAGCCCCTAAGTGAGCATTGTAAGGCTTGTGTTATGGGATACTAGGGTAACGAATAGTACGTTTTTGAATAGAAATATAGAGATCCCCTGCGTTTTCACCCGCGTTAATTTGAGGAAATAAGTTATAATGAGTTAAACTTAAAATATGGGTGGGTGTATGCAGTCGCTGACTTTTTATAGAACTTTTAAGGGGGAACAATTCCGTCATACATGATTTTTGTGTAACTTTAATCTTTTACGCAGCGCACGCAAAGGAAACTCACAAATAGTATGTTTTTTACCCTTTTTTTTCCAACATTTTGTATCGATGCTCTGCTCCTTCTAGTCGTAGCGTGATGTTATATAGCCTGTAGCCTTCCTCGATACATGCATTATCCAACAAAATAATATTTTTTAAATCGATATTATATAAGTTCCTGATATTAGCTCGTACAAACAAACAAACAAACTCTTCATGTTTATAATATTAGTTCAAATATGTAAGCAACCACGACTTGATAGTACTAGTCTATATTTTCATCATGATGATATGATGATAGTGGCAACACCATATCACACCTAGTACTTACCTTCTTACAAGTTTGGATTAATATATCGAAAACACGCATTAATTAGTAAAAAGTTTGCAAAGTGTAGTTTATAGCAGTATCATGTTAACAGTGAAATTGTTATCTTGAGGAATCTCCAGGTAATATTTGTGAAAACAAATAACAAAGTGGATATTTTTATACCCTCACTATAAACTACGAATTTGTCAAAAATTTACCCGCATATTTTTTAATTATGAAAGTCATTAGATTATCTATTGACGACAACAAATTCAATACTGATTATCTTAGTGTTGTCCACCTGTAAAGTATTACCACAGTATCGGGAATTTTTTTTACTGATCAGAGTTGTATGTCATCACTCGAAACAGTCTTTAAAAATAGCTACATGCATGGGTTGCCAAACAACTGATGTCAATACGTTTATAAAACAGATGTTGCTTTAATTTGTAATTTTTATTAAATAAAGTGATAAATATAGTTGCATTTGTATATCATTATATATGCAGAGTCTTTATCATACAAATATTTATAATGCTCCTTCACAGCTATAGCAAGTGTTAGTGTGATTTAAGCTAATTTCATACCCAAATATTAAATGTAGGGGTCATGGAAAAAACAAAGTTACGTGATTAAACCCCCAAAAAGTTTCCTGTAAGTAAGGCCAACGAAAGAATGCAATCCTGGCAGAACGTGCTAGTGTCTTAAGTTAACAGAATAAGGTACACTTTAGGTATTATGCACTGAGATCTAGAAAAAAAGAGACTCTGAAATAAACTCTAGTTCTGTCGCCATAAGGAACTGACACGACCTATCAGAATCGCATTCTTTCGTTGGCCGCACTGTAGTTCCGAATCGCATTTATGATCAAATGAATATTCAACGGATAAATGAATGAATGGATGGCCGTATAAGTGAACGAACGAATGAATGAATGCACTCATAAAAGGCACCCTGATATGGTAGCAATAACTTACAATGTAAAACAACATTATTTTCTTTTTTTTTTCAGGTACCGTCACTATTCTAAAGACAGGTCGCTGTTAATATCAGCTTTTGCAACAACAATACTGTTATTGACCGCTCGATGTACAGAAGATAACATACCCAAAGAAAGTGTTTGGAAATTTTACGTGTCGCATTTTGTGTTGAGCACCATAAGACCGTTCTTGTTTTTAAAGTTATCACCAGCTTTGTCTATGTGGCCTTATAAGAGTACGATAAAACAGAAAAAAGAATGAATAAATTTATAATTAATGTAGTGAATAAAAAAATGAAAATGGCGTCAATTTAATTAAAAAAAAAAAGAATTCGTAAAAAATGTGGCTTACAAATTTACTGATTGCCTAGTTAGTTAAACGCCTTTTTTTATTTCATTTTCAGTGATAGTACTTCGGCACTGTCGTGATGTATATTAATATTGCTTTTGGAGATATATTATCTCGAAATGTCGCATGACCTCACGTTTTGGTACATTTTTTACTGAGAAGTGACGTCACGAGCCCCCACTCCTGAACTGTGACCCCCTTTATTTTTTTAATTTTTTAGTTGATTGCCAAAAGAAAATTTGACATAATTCTTTAATAATCTAACATACGGACTAAACAGACTATTTTATTTACCACGTCGTCACCTATTTTGTGCGTGTAACACTCGATTCATTTTCTAATTGTGTCTTTGCTAAAATTAATGTCACAAAAAGGAACACATAAAATTAAGTACCTATAGTTGTCGATTTCGGCATGATTCTCTCAACTTAAAACTAAATGTAACATCAGTCTCTCCTTTTCATTCTGTACAGACTGGGACAAGAATACACTTTTGTCAAATTTAAGATTGGGTTTAGAGAATCATGCCAGAATCGACACCATAAGCATTGTGCAGAATTATCTGAGGCCCAAGCACAAACGTTGACAGATCCGCGTAATCTGATCATCATCGTCAAAATGTTTATGGAATAAACCTGCCCCTCTAGCATGACCACCGAAACGGGATATGATAAAGCAATATATCGGCATTAACTGTCAGACTACTGTCAAACTCCACTGTAGTCTGACAGTTAATGCCGATATATCGCTTTATCATATCCCGTTTCGGTGGTCATGCTAGAGGGGCAGGGGGCCAACCGCCTAACGAGATTGCAATGGCTAACGCTATAGCTAACGATTTCATTTTCTTATGCCATGCCGCGCGCATGTTTTTTCTTTTGCATTGGTAATAATAATATTAAAGGAAATGAGCATATGTATTTGAAAACCCTCGGGGGTCAGAAATAACAAAATGAAATCGTAAGCGATAGCGATGGCAATCCCGTTAGGCAATTGAGCCCCAGTTTGTCCTTACGTCCGTTAGGGGCGCTGCTTAGTTTTCATAGAAACTGACGATGCGATACGCTTACAGAGGTGCCACAGTTTACGCTTGCCTCTAACTCTGCGTTAGTGAAATTTTTACTGTCGCTTTGAAACGACTTAGAAAATACGAGTATGAAACTTATACCAGTGAAATTAATTAATTCTCGTAAAGTAGGTAGATTTGATTTTGTATATTAATTGTTGTTATTCTCATTGAGAATCAGTGTTGTTTGTATGATTGTACTCCTACTATTTATTAACAGTTTTGTGAAGTCTTATTTTATTTTACAATGCCATTATTCTATCTCTTTCATCGAACTGGAATATGGTAGTCCAGTGTGACCTATATTATGGGGCTTATAAGGGATAAATAGTTTTTCATGTGAATGCTATTATGGATAGCTTTATTTACGGGTGATTTGTTTTTATAAATAAGCACTGTGATATATCGAAGTTACTATTATTTTAGAGCAATATTATTGTATCTGAATTTTTATTTTATTTGAAATACCTACTATTATTTATACTGTAAAAATTTGTCCAACAAATACTATATAAAGTAAGGCCAACGAGAAGAGATACAAAGTGTAAACAAAGTCGATGAAAGGTCATTGATCAATGCAGAGGTTGGCAAATATTTTATTTTTGTTAAATGGGCGCCGGAATGTTGTGGTGAATGGCGCCTCGGCGTGGACAGGACACGTGACTTGATAGAACGAGACCTAATGTTAAATATATGAGATGATAGTTTTAGACTGCCAGTCCCATAGTCTCGTCTAAGGTGTACTTTTGTATCGCTTCTCGTTGGCCGTCTTTATTGTTTACTACCAGCACACCAAATAATGTTATAGCAATGAAATTAGCTTTAATTAAAGAAGAAAACTGTTGATTTGTTGTTTTATTTCGACAAAGTCCACATTAGTTATTGACGAAATTAACGTAAAATTTTAGAATATTTCTAGAACATCCTCCCTTGTTACGTAAGCCGTGCTTTCTGTCTTGGACACCCAATCACTTCTAGTTAAGTTTGTTTGACTGTATAAAGGAATTTCTTTTGCATGGAAAATGCTAATAATATTTTTGGCCTTCTTCGTAGTCGTCTGCTTCTCATTCAAAACACGGTCTTTTTGCTCGACGTTGTAAATGTCGCCAATTACGTCTGCCGCCACATTATCTGTGGTCAATTTGGACAGCTGCCTCGTTTTCCCGCCCATTTTCAATTTCTTAAACTTCACCCATTCCATTTTGGATGTGTTCACGGTTCTCGAGGCAGATACTTTGCTGGACTTCGATGACTTGTTGCTTATGTAGTTTGGAGATGTACTGCGGGTTCGCGCGCCAAAGACTTGCTTAGTCGGTAGATGTTTCGTCGCTGGCTTGCAACGTTTAATACGGTTTGATTTACTGAGTCTTCTGAACGCATTGCTATGGCGAGACTGTTTCGACATCACCGCTATTTTGTCCAATGGGAAACAACACATCACTTTGCTACAAATCATCACTCGCAACAAGAAACTCTTAATGATTTTAAAAAAGAACGCACTGTCGTCGGACATTTTGTTTTAAGGATTTTTTCACATTATTTATTTGAAAAGTTTCACGTACAGACATTTTGATAATCAACGTTGGGTTTGACGTAAAAGTTTGACAAACCGGAGTGAATGTTTTCTCTTCGTACGAGTTTGACATCTGCTAGATTTTCATAGCCATTGTAAAGAGGATATATCTATACTAATATAATAAAGAGGAAAGGTTTGTATGTAAGTATTTTTGTAACGAATAGGCTCAAAAAGTACTGGACCAATTTAAAAAAATCTTTCAGTATTGAATGCTACATAATCACTGATTAATATAGGCTATAGTGTATTTTCGAAAAAGTTAGGGTTCCGTATGAAAACTTCGATAATGTAACCCAATGTGTGTAAAAAATACCAAAAAATAGCCTTATATCGCGTACGCTGCGGAAGTCATTGATAATAGAGCAAAGTGATGTAGTAAAGTTATATAGAGGTTACTAATATCTACAAAAAAGTCCGCGACACCATATAATAGAGAGAAAAAAGGTTTATAGTAAATCAAACTTCAAATATGGACACAGGTTGTCGTGTACTTTCTTACAGAACTTTTTAAGGGGAAGAATACCGGTTTTTGTGTAACTTTTACCGTTTATCCAGCGCACGCAACGGAATCTCACAAATGGAATATTATTACCTACTCGTTTTTGCAACATTTTTCATCGATACACCGATGTTACTGGTGGTAGCCTGGTAATATAGCCTATAGCCTTCCTCGACAAATGCACTGTCCAATACAAAATTTTCCAATCGGAACAGCAGAGCAATGTTGCATTCGGTACAAAGGGTCCTAAACTACGCAGCGAATTTTTACTTGGAATGGAAGGTTTATAATTATTATGAAGAAAGTCATTGTATATAATACAAGCCTTTGAACAAAAACTATAGTCTACACTACGGCTCTACACCGAAGCAAAGCGAGGGCGGACCACTAGTTCATAGGTAAATGATTGGTCTCGCTACGCTCGAATCGACTCTGCTCGTGGAGTGTAGCGACACCAATCATTTATCTATGGATATAATCCATTTCTTAACATATTAAATAAGCATAGCGTGTCGGCCGTATTACTTTGTGTAAATAAGGCTTGAAATTGAAGGTTTAAATGATTTGAAGCTTAGATAGGAAATCCGGTACCCACCTTTTCTTAAAAATATGTACTTGTGTAATCTATGAGAGAGAATGCATTCAAATTCTCGTTTCGTCATAAGTATCAACTACTGTTGCTACTATGTTGCTACCATGTCGCCTATCAGTAGCACAGGAAGCTGATAAGTAGAAAAACACCTGTGTCTAGGTATCTCACCACCAAAAACGTAATGAACTTACCAAAAGCGCTCATAACGGATTTGAAACCTTTCTTAAATTCCATACGAAAAAGAGTTAAGTAGTTTGTTTTTCCTAGATAAAAAAGAATGTCGTTATAAGCGCCTGTGACAATACCCTCTACCCACCACATAGAAAAATTCTCAGCCTAAAGGTGTATAAGAAGGTAATATAATGCGCCCGGCAAACTCCTTGAGCAACGACCATAGGCAAACAGACCTGCGCAAAAGCAAATTTACACACAAAACGTCTATACAGCGCAAGTTTATTTGTCTGCAGCTTTGCTCAAGTTTTCCGTCCGGATTAGTCCGTACCTGTTCGGACTTTGTCCGGATCTTTAAATTGTACGGATTTTTTAAATTACATTGAGTATGAATAATAAAAGTACATATTGATTTAAATACCATACCATTGTAACTAAGTGAGTAATGGTACCATTTTATGCTTAGGAGTCCGAAACTTTTTTCGAAATGTCAGGACTTTTGAAATTCCTAAATGATAACCTTAGCCGCTAGGTACCTATCCCCAGGTTATTTGTTATTGACGAACAAACAGACATTTCGTCAAACTTGTTCATTTGCAGGCAGTAATAATTTAATATTATAGATAGGTAATGATAGTACCCGCCGCCCTATCAATTTATTAATGCGAAACGAAGCGTCAATACAATTGATATTATACGCAATGGAGATAATGAGATATACTTACTCGTATTGCGCCGCGTGGGACAGGCAGAGAAGCCGCGTAGATGTTCAATGAACGAGCCATGCCTAATCAGAATTTGTTCTCGCCAATGGATTTGTTGCAATACGTAAGTTAAATTAGGTATTTATTTATTTTTAAATGAGTATTTTTACCTCAGAAGGAAAAAACGGAACCCTTGTAGGATCACTTGGTGGTCTGTTGTCTGTCACAGTCGATTTGCGCGAAGTCTACTTGGCCGATCAAGTTGAAATTTGGTAAAGGGCTCAATGTGAATGTTTCAAACATATTTTTATTCAAATATTATAAAATGAATGCTTTTTTTTCACATCGATTAGCATAGCTCCAAAGTAAGCACAGGCTTGTGTTATGGGATACTAGGGTAACGGATAGAATACATATACTGATACATATATCAGTATATTTATATAGAAATACATATTATACATCCGTGACTGGAGTACAAATGATCGTATTCATGACACAAACATCTGCCCCCACTGGGATTCGAACCGGAACCTCTCGAGTTGACGACATCTTGAAACCCGGCGTACAAACCACTCGGCCACGGAGGTCGTCAAGGAAGTAGTTAGCAAATTAGATGTGAATTGACCTATCCCACCCTTAAAACGCATCATTTTGCTCGATATTATTTAAGTGTCTAATGTTGTATAGATAATGGTACGGTACCCTTTGTGCGCGAGTCCGACTCGCACTTGTCCGGATTTTTTTACATCTAATAAATAAAATTCTCGTGCCATGGTGTGCGTAATTGAACTGCTCCGAAACGGGTCGACCGATTTTCGTGAAATTTTATATGCATATTCAGTAGGTCTGAGAATCGGACAACATCTATTTTTCATCCCCCTAAATGTTAAGGTTCACCCTTAATTTTTTTTTAATGACAATTTTTTTTTGATTTTATATTTTTATGATACACCCTTCTACCATCAACCCCAATTTTTTATGGCGGTACGAAGTTCGCTGGGACAGCTAGTTACTACTTCTCACCTGATGTTAAATGACCCCATCGGTCAAGGTGGAACGGGGTGAGGCCATCTATACAGACAATGGTTATATTTTCAGATGGACTCATTACTTCGGGAGTCCAAGATAGAATATTCTAGAAGAACAGAAACGTCCAACTACGGCTGGCTACGGTCAAAGGCTTTAGACGCGCCTACTGCCAACACCGAGCTGGAAGAATTCAAACCTATCGTGTTGAAGGTAAATCATCATCATATTCAGCCGATGGATGTCCACTGCTGGAGATACGGATTTCCAAGCACAAGGTCCTGTGCTTTCCACATTCAGTGGTTCCCCCCGAATAGCTTCATATCGTCAGTCCACATGGTGAGGGGTCTACCGACACTACGTTTCCAAGTGCGGGATCGCCATTGAAGTAAATGTCCATCGGTCCGCCGAAGAAGAAGGTAAATAAATGATTATAATAATAAATCCACCCCAAGGTGGACTGGAGTGAGGAAGAATATAGATACTTAAAGGACATTGCTCGTTCCCCATACATTGAATGCCCTAGAACGCCCAGCAATGAGAAAATGTTAGTTGTGTTCGAAATCATTCATAAACTCTAATTAGGCATTTGTTGAGATACGGACAACTTGAGGAACCGTGGCCTACTACAGAATGTATTAGATTTTGAGGTTATAATATTTATACTTAATCGTAAAAGATATACACTTTATATATTCTGAATAGATTTAGTGCTTACCTCTATGTAAGCAATTAAATAATATGCATTAAATGAAAATAAAAATAAAATGTAATTAATAATAAATGCTTATATTCATATTGATTTATGAGTGTTGGCAGTTGGCTCCTATGATACCTAAACCTACCTGTAGTAATAATAGATTTCTTTTCAAATGAAATGTTCAAAGTCTTTCCATTTACCTGTTTCTATATTTTATTATCGGTAATTAGGTACCTATGTACCTGGTTATCATTATGATTTTCATAAAAATAAACAGATATTACATGGGATGGGAGTATAAACTATCTTTACATAATTTCAGAAATAATCTTTTTATAAATATAATATAAATACTAGTAATAAGTATTATTAACTAAGGTACCTTGTTCTATTTTTATTTTGATAAATACCTATGGTCGCCCTTCGCCCATATTGCATTTATTAAGGTAAACAATCTTGGCACAACTTTTTAACAGAATCACCTATTTAATAATAAAATATTAACGAAGCCAATAAACTATTAAAATAAATCGTTATTATAGACTGAAACCCATTGAATCCAGTTATCAGTTGATTTTTAATGCTGTATTTTCAATAAAAAGGAGTGCCAAGATTGTTTACCAAATAGGACAAGTTGGATGAACAGACTGTAGTATCTAGTAACAGAACTTTTACTTTTTATTTTTTTAAACAGATTGTCCGTTTACTATGATTAATTGCTAATAAGTTAAAAAAATAATAGAAAAATAATAGTGAAGGACGTTCTTTTGGGCATGCTAGGGCCGATTTCGTCGATGTCCTTTGCCAACTGCTAACTTTCCCGGGCCATCAAACAGACGATAAACGCTTTATTCGGAATCCGTTTTGTTTCCGGTCAAAGTATTACAAGTGGTATCGATGAGGTGTGACGTTCTGTGTGTGAGTGTATGTGTGTTGTTGTTTTTTTGTTAAAAGAGCAAACGAACACATGCCCCCATAACATATAGCATAAAGATGCTTGCAATATAATAAAGGTCGTGTTATTTCACTGTGGTATTCTGTTATATGGGGAGGTTACATCCAATTTGAGTGGGTAATGCGTAATGATTCCCGTCAGGGATAAATGCCGACAGTGACATAATGGGTCGAAGCACCTTTGGGAAAACAACACTTTATTGCCTGCTACGAATGAAGTTACCAAACAGAGATAGAAAATAGACATACTCACACCTACACCATAAACATAGTATACCGGAGTATATTAATTTTATGACTTACACTCTATTGCCACACGTAAAGAAAATGCGGTTGCATGTAAATATCTAAAAGCAATATACCTAGATAATAAATAAATATTTCCAACACTCACACCA